GTGTGTGTCTGTGTGTGTGTGTGTGTGTGTGTGTGTGTGTGTGTAGAGTGCATATTATGCTAAATATAGGGACCATACAATGGATGTAGTATACATAATGCAAGGAACAATAATATATAATAGTTACCCACACATTTTCACATTATATGACAAAATATTAAAACTACGTGAATGACGTCATCTAAAAAAAACGATAGATCAGTACACCGTCGTGAGTACAGTTCACGGTTGACAATGAGCTTGTGACCTATCACACACGCACATACACACACGCACACGAACGCACAAACGCACGCACGCACGCACACGCACACATACACACACATAATATATATACACATACACACAAACACAAACACAAACATACACACACAATACACACACACACACTCACACATACACACATACACACACACACACATAGTACTATATTATGATATGCCAGGACAAAATAGCCATAGGATAAAACAATTATTCAACTTTCGTCAAGGGGAGGTAATAAGAGGCAGGATAAAAAATGGTTTATCAACGTCACAAAATAACACAAAGTTGAAGATAAAACGAACATCCGTTCGATCTCAGTAGAGTTAAAGGAATATTGTGTAGAAACTTCACGTACGCCATTCTCTATTGGAAGCTGAAAAAAAACCCACAACGACAGGTAAATACATAATATGTGTGAATATACAAAGCGCACTCTGAGCTGTTCTCTGACCAGTCATAGCTCACAGTGGATTACAAACATGCAGCTGATGCCCAATTCACAATCTATCAAGTTCCGCGTCCCACTTTCTATGTAATCGAAAAGATTCTCTTGAGGATGAATTCACATCCTAGCAACTTTCAGGTCCCACTTAATGATCATTCTGTCGTTGACGATGAAGCTTCTCTGCTCTCCCACTCTGTAAACGAAAGCTCCCATATCGGGCGAGTGACGGGTGGCCAGGCTCGTCTCTTGTCCAGGGATCAGACGCATTGGCGAGGGGACGACGTCCCACAGACACTGGAATTTCCTCGCCTGCTGATCGTAGATGTACCCTTTGCCAGAGAAGATAGCAGACGTGGTGGGCGGCTGCGCGATACATGCGTCTCCCACTCCCACACACTGGATCTCTCCGCCTCTACAAAGGCTTCGGATAATGACGTTAATCGTTAGACCGCCGTTAGGCCCAAAGTGGAAGCAGACTTTGGCTGTGCAGTTCCGAAACGCGTCCAAGTAGAATTCAGAGCTGTACAAGTCTGTTTTTCCCGCGACAAGAGAAGCGACTTTCTCAATCGGGCACAAAGCACCCTGGTTGGGTAGTACTGAGAAATCTGTAACCATTTGGTAGTCATCGTCGTCACTGTTGGTGTTGTCCCCGTTGTCTGACTGACCACTGTCCGAGCCCCAGACGTGATCCGTCTTCGCGAGACAAAACGCATCAGACAACACATCGCCCGGCCCCTTACTCGTGCTTGGCAGGAACCTATGTTCTTCGTCTTCTTGATACGTTGACGAGCCGTGTTTTGAGAATCTAGACATCAAGGGACAACCATTGTTTCTTCTCTGCGACTGAGACAACTCGGTGTTGTCTGTGGACTTGCCAGTCCGCCTGCCTATCTTTTTGGTCGGTCTAGGTCCACTGTCAGAAACAGCCTGCTTTAAAGAACGATTCTTTTCGTCTAGAATTTGGTCAAGCCTGTTTCTTATCTCATTTCTAGACAATGACTTATCCTTCATGCTACGTGGTTTTTCAAAGCGAGAAGTTGTCTCAGGGAAGTGTGTTATTGTTGGCGACCTTCCACCAGATTCTCGACGTGTGAAAACGGAAACAAGCGACGAGTCCTCCACGTCTTCGGATGTGACGTCACTTCTGCTCGTTCGCATTATAAAATTATCATCCCCACGTTCTTGACTAGACCGCTGTCGCACGTCCGAAACGCGTTCTCGTGAAGGGGACCTCCAGTCTTCTAGACTTTCTGACCTGAGGCGTTTGCTAACAGACCTACATGTAGAGCGGCGATACCGCTCCGCTCGACCCCGGATCTTTCTAGAACTTGACGTAGTACGTTGAAAACCGGACGCAGTGCGCTCCTCAAGGATTTCGCTTATCATATTCTTTACCTCCTGCAATTTTTCCATCTGCTCCCGGTGATGGTCATCCATTGCCTGTCTCAGTCTCCGGACCTGAGTTT